AACTGAATCGTTCTGACTGCGTCGTAGTAATTTTTTTTTTCGTTAAATGTGGGACGAGGGGGAACTCATTCAATTTATAAAATACATATTGTTGAATCCTCCAGGAATATTGATAACAATTGAGCCCCTCGAGATGAAATCCAAACATTGACATAAATTCCCACGGGATTGAATTTCTATCTGGCAACAAGTGTTCGTCCCCATCATTATAAACAAATCGATAAGCGCAAGGATTTCTCATACCATTCATTGCTATGAAATCCACGATCTCCCGAGAATAATCATAATTCGCCACACCCCCACTAAAATTAAATCCAATCATGCGCGTTTCCCACTCAGGGATTTCGCGTTTTCCAAATTTTTCATTTTCCCTTCTCAAGATTTGATATTTCATAAAATTTCATGGGATTTAAAAATTTCATGGGAGATCATAAAATTTCAATATCACCTGCACCGATTTCAAGAATGATTACCCCATCGTTCATGAATAATTCCTCGATAATAGAATATAGAAATGAAAATCCAAATCGCATGGTCCATCAGGTTATTTCATAATAATTAATCCGGAAAATATAATTAATCCCATATTTTTTTCCAAGAGCCGGTGTAAAGGGCAAAGCGTGGGTGTTACGCCCTCGCCCAGTATCACTCTTCCAAAAATCGATTCCCGTCAAATACTCCCACCACATTCATCCCCACCCTCAGGGTGAACATCAGTTGTGCTTATCACCGGGTTGTGTGAACATCGGGGGGTTGAAAATTAACTTCCCTCTAGAATGTAACGAAAACACCGAAAAAATTCACAAAAGAATAATAAAAATAGGAAAAAAAAAAAGTTTATTACTTCACTCCCCCGAATTCAAATTTTCCACTATCTTCTGGAAAAGTGGAAATTAGTGACGAGCCCCTGAGATTATGCGACACTGAATCTTAAAGGTAAATAATTCCATCGCACCATCGGGGGTGATTTTTTTATTGCTCTCGGATAATTTATTATTGTTTTATTTTTTCCTTCTCCATTTTTAATCTGTAGGGGTTTTTTCACTTCGTAATCTGTCGAGTATGGAAAAACGTGACTACAACCTGATGCTTCCACCGGTTTAAAAAAAAAGGTTTTGACTGGAATTTTAGAACTGTTTTGTTATAGGAATTGTTGAAAAATTATTCAGGGAGAGGAATTTAATGGTCGGAGATAATTAAAAATATTTTGACAGGTGGAGGTGTCGGTGTTGATGATATTTATTATTTTTATCGGTGTTGGTAATGAGTGATAGCGAATTTATTGATTTTTTAGAGCCTCCGATGCGATGGGGATGGATTGAGCAGAGAATGAGAAAAATATCTCTGCCGATGAAATTTATTTGTTTAAATAAATTCCTCAGTTGAATAACGAGTGAATCATTTGAATTACTTTTGCATTGAAGAACCGATTTCGTTGAGACGGGGAAATTATGTGGGCTTTTGAGATTTTACATGATTAATTGTTACAATAATGGAATTGAAAATTCAATCATTCATTTTACGATTTAAAATTCATTATTCTGGTCATCAGGGGTTGCATTATTTTATTTTTTTCTTGTCAGCTGTTGAGGGCGTTGGAACTGGTGACGTTGATCGATGAAGTAATTTATCAGAAAATCCTTGTTATTCATTTTTTTAATGAAAATTCTGCAGCGAAGTGGTAAACAATGACAAGTACCTTTTTTTCGATTCCAGTTTTTTGCCGATTCATCGGAATTGGACAGAGATAACGATATTTTCATAGATACCTTTTTTGTAGGCCTCATCTTTGTCTATAAAAAATGTTCATGAAAAAAATTGACTTTGTTGCTTCGATCCCGAGATATCGGCTGAAAACCGGTTTCGATAGATGTGCACTCATCCTAGAATTGAAAAAATTATAACAATTGAGTACTGGAGTTGTCATTAATCTTCAGATTTACATCGATGGGTGGAAAAAGGTGGAGGGAAGGAGTCAACTGCCTTTCAATCGTTCTGATTCTCCTGCTGAAGGGCTCAGGAACTCATGGAGCTGGTGAAGTTGGTGAGCCTCATCTGAACTAAACATCGGAATTAAACGATCAATTCCCCGAAAACCGAGGGAGATAATGAAATTAATGTCTGAACATTTTTTCTCGCTCTGAATCAGCTCTACAAAAAATGTTTTCACCAAAATTTCGCCATCTCCCTTAGTTCGGGAAATATTCTCGAATTTATCTCCAATCCCAAGATAAATTCACGTTTTACTGTCACGCGTAATATGAGATTTGATATTTAATCTGTCACCTGTACGTGCCCCGAGGTAATTCCTAAATAAATGACAGTACCAACAAAAATCGTTACACCGATCTCATGCTGGTGTTATCATCCACCCCGTCGGCTGTCTTGAATGTATTTGAATTTATATCAATGATTCCGGAGAGGATACAAGAAAGAAGATGACAGAACAGAATGAGAGAAAAAGATAAAGGGATTTTCTGTTCCTCTTTTCTGGCCTTTTCTGTTTTATTATCTAGCCCCGACCCACGCATTTTAGTATTCCTCTTCATTCCGGGGGATGAATTCATCAGAGGGTGAGAAAGTGTGTTACGTGATGCAACTTTGAATTTGTATTTTCGGTCGACCCATTTTGTCTTAATTGAAGAACAACTTCATCCCTTGGAACCTACAATAAATATAAGTACCCCCCACGCAGGGTACAACAGAATAATGACGTTCGAATTTGTTATCAGATCGATCGGCGTACGATCGAAGACATGCAGAAATAGCTGTTCGTTGGCCCTAAACAATTT